ACTATGTCTCCCCCCTCTGGCCAAGATTTAGTGGTGGCATACCCCCCCCCAAAAACCCCCCCCGTCCGCTGGGCGGGGGGGGGAAATGCGGAAAGTGGAAGTCCACACATCTTAAAGTTGCCAAGGTTGAGAAACACTGGGTTTAAGGCATCAGGCTAGAAACTAGGAGACAGTAAGTTCTAGTCCCGTCTTAGCACAAAGCCAACTTGAGCTGGTCCCTCTCTCTCAGCCCTAGGAATGAGACAATAGCAAACCACTTCCGAAAAACTTCGCCAAGAAAACTGCAGGGATTAGTCTGTGCATTGCCAGGAGTCAACACTGACTCAAAGGCACTGAAACAAACCAAAAAACAAAAGCAAACCTCACACCACTAAGGTGATACTATGCACTTTAATGTGAGTGACATCTGGTTTGTACTTGGCACATGCAAACTCAATTTTTGATCATTTTGTCCCCGAAATGAGATTCTATAATCCTCCTTCTGTGAGATTAATGGCTGTGGACTGGAAACTCCAATTTTCTCTTCTGGCAATTCCACAGGGAATTTCAAACAGATGCTTGGGGTATCTGCGCAATCACATCTAAATAGAATACCCAAGTTCCATTTCACAAGTGATTCAAATGTAATTTCTTGTAATTCTAAGGCTGTAAGTTTACCTGGGGAACGAAAACAAATCCCAGTAAAAAGGCAGTGGCAAATGGCTTACATTTTAGTGCTAAAAACGCACAGTCCTCAGGTCCTGAGTTCAGTTAAATATGTCTTTAGCTTAAACGGCAGTATCTCCATAAGGAATTGAATTGGGGGCTAGCCATTACATATTAATGAATTCAGGTTTAAATTTTTGTTTACTCTGGTGAATGTGGCAAAAATCCAGTTAGCCTCTTTTACCTTCTGACCCAAAAAAACATTTTGTTCTCAGAAGAATGTTTTATAAAGAATGGTTAACTAGGAAGGTGCTGCTGATTTATGAAGATGACAGTATTTATTATTGTCAAAATGGATATTGAATTATATTAGTTATGTATTAAATTTCAGATGTCCAACTGCATAAAATCTCAGTTCCTGGCATAGAACAGGTCCCAACACAAAAAACAAGGCCCAATCTTTGAAAAGGAAGCTAAGTGGCGGCGGCATCATCATCATCATCATCATCATCATCATCATCATCATCATCATCTGATCTGTTCCTGCCACCAGGCATCCTTCACTTCAAACAAGGGAGGCAGCCAAGTCTCTCTTAAGCTTATCTATAAAGAGATTAGAGGCTCCTATATTGCCTAGACAATGGGAGAGTGTTTTAACTTCTATAGCAAGAGTGTCAATGGACCCCAAATTACAACTTATACAACAAAAAATATTTAGAATTAATTGGACTCCATTATGTTTGTATAGAAAAGGATGATCAAAAACAGCATTTTGTTGGAGATGTAATAAGGATAATGCTTCTTTAAAACATGTTTCTATAATGTCCTATATTTACCAAGTTTTGGGAGAAAGTAGTGGATTATATAAATATGATTGTGTGACAAAAGGTAAAATTTTCAGAGGATAATATTCTTTTGAACTATATACCTAGTACACGGAATTTGACATCTGGACAACGCGCCCTTAGTATGGCCAAAAGACTGATATTGCAGCATTGGAAAGTTAAATATATGGCCCCTTTTAATCAATGGATTGAAGACCTGATTGTACTTGCTACTTACGGGAGATTGCCTATAGATGTAGACTTTGGATGGGCAAGTGTAATTAAATATGGGACTCATTTATACAAAATACAATAGATTAAAAAAAATGCTAGTTAGATGTATTAGAAATATATACTTGCTTGAATACTAGCATTAGATAAGTATATATATAATTATAATTGTTCACTGTTATAATGACATATTAACATGTTTTTTTCTTTGCTTTTCTTTCACTTTTTTGTTAAAGCATTTTTAAAAAATAAATGAATAATTAGAAAGCTTAAAAAATAAATGAATAAATAGAAAGCTTATCTAGAAAGAGAAAGCCAAACAAACAGCCGCTTGAGCGCTTACCCGGAACCTTTTTCCTCCATTCTTTGTTTCCCTTCGGAAACTATCGAAAAGTGACCTCTTCGTCGCCGGCTGGTTACTGTAATAGACCGGAAGAAGCGTGAGTTCCATCGAAAAGTCCCCCCAGCGCCCCTGTTTCCGGTTTGAGGGAAATGGAATAAAACGGCTCGGTAGCCGGACGGAGGTCGGAGTGGGGCTGTTTCTTTTCGGCGTGCAGCGGTGGGAGGATAGCCCTCCTCATCCTCCGACGATTTCGACTGGCAATAAAGTACGTGGACGCCCCTCTGCGGCTGCTGCAGGCCAGCCTTCCCCGACCAGCTGCGCTCGGTGTGGGGACTTCAACACCCCTAATCCCCAGCCTCTCCCGAGACTAGGTGGCGTATGAAGGGCGTTTGTGCCGTTTGGGTCTTCGAACGAGCATCTCGGCGGGTCCTGGCTGTGGCCTTGCTAAAACCACAGTTTAGTATGCAGTAATGCGGCCCTTTGCGTCTCACGGCCCCATCGCCAGGCAGCTCCAGCAATCCCTGTCGGTGTGTGTGTGGGGGGGGGGGGGG